ATAACAGCAGTGTGATTCTGCCGCCCCACCTTCAATAGGATATATATTCTGAATTATTTAAAATAACTGGGATTAATAATATAAATAAGCAAAAGTACCTAGTGAAAATAAATAAGTGAAAAATTATTTAATCTAGTAAGCAAATGATTAATAGTCATTAAATTTCTTATCTGACTCAACTATCCCCCACCACCACCCTGCTTTCTCAGTAAGAATTTTCTGACAAACCAGCCAGGGTTTTTGAAACCATAGACCTCATTCTGCCAAATTATCTGGCTCATACAGGATGCAGAAAATCATGTGATGCCTACCACCCTGTAGAAGTAGATGTGACTTGGAAATATAGAAGCTAAATTCATCCTCAATTTTTCCTTCTATAAAGCTTTCTATGTCTTTATCAAAACCTAACCAAAAATTAACTAGAATAACAAAGATGTTATGTTGAAGCTACTTGGGTATTTGGGTGTACATGAGGTCTGAAACCTATTAGTCAGCATGTATAATCAACTGTTGTCCAAGAAAGTTAGAAATTTCGTTATCCTGTTTTTGACTTAGTTTTATGGTTTCTCTCTTTTGTCTACTATCTCCCAGAATTCTTCCTTTCCCCTTTCTTGATCTCATGGTCACTGGTTGTAGGATAAGACTAAATAAAGGTAGAGTAGAAGCATGGAGGATCTCTATGAATATGTTATTTCTGCTGTTTTAGACTTCGTGTTAGCTGCCCCTCTACTCTCTCCTAATAATCACAATTTATTAAAAGTTACATGCATGCCCCATTATTGGGTAAGTCAGTACATGTTTAGAGTGTGATTGCTTATGTGGAGGCAACTGTTAGGAAACTGGCACAGTTTCAGCCAGGTGGCCACATGACCCAACCTCTGTGGTCAAGCTCCACCCCCATCCTAATAGGATTCACTGCTCCTGCTTCCCTGCCCGCCCTCCGGCGAAGTTTTAAAAGGGCCTGTTCCTGAACACATGCTCTCTTGGTTCTTCTCTCTAGCCTCCTTCTCTGGTCTCTCTTCTCTCTTGGTTCTTCTCTCTTGCTTCTCTGCTGCTCTCTTGGCTTGTCTCTTTATCTTCTCTCCTCACTATCTCCTCTCCTCTGTCTTATACTTTCTTTCTCTCTTTCCCTTTGCTGCCCCTTCACTCTGGTCTGTTGGGTGTTCCCCAATAAACCCTTTCCCTTACTCCCGTGTTCGGTGTGTTTTGTGACGGCTAACATTAATATATAACATAACAGAAACTATCTTAATAACTAAGCCTCTGGAAAAACAGACTTTGTTTCCCAGTTCCTCTTCCTAAGCTGTTGTTGACTCATCAGTCAACCCCAGATTGTGGTCTTTTCCCTCCACTTTCCCTAAACAGCTTTTGTCAAGGCCCTCCCTGATCTTTTGGTCCCTGAAAATAATAATTATTATTAAGGTCTCCGCTGTGCTTCATTTTGCTGACCATTCCTCTTTTTAAATCACTGTCCTGCCTGGTTTCTGTGGTTCCATTCTTTCCTGGAATTTTCCCTAACTGTAGTTAATTCCTCTTAGTATCTTTTGCAGCCTTTGTGTTCTGGGTTTAACCTACTCATGATATTTTATTACTTCTTGGTGTTCTGTTATTCCTTTTTCCTCTTATTCTGCAAATTCTCCCAGGACTTCTTTGCCAGATTTAGTGTCTCTTCAGTGCTCATCTTCCTGTGAGCTCAGACATGTCATAAACAGCTACTTAATGGATATCCTTACTTGAGTGCATGTTAGACACTTCAAATACAACAGAATCAAAATTCTTCTCACTTGCCTCTTCCAATCTCAAATGTACTTCCTCTGGTTTTGCTTTCTTGTTTAATAATACAGCTTTCTCCACAGGTTGCTCAGAAATCTTAAAGTCATTCTTGAATCTTTGTCTCAATCTTTTCCCTTTCAGCCAACTCATAACCTAGTCTTCTTATTTGTCTACCTTCGTAGTATTGTTGAAATGGATCTTTTTTCTCCACTTCTACTTGTGAGGATTTTCTTCTTGTTTTACTTCAGGTTAGCATCAACAGCTTCTTCTCTCCTCCCAACCTTTTTCTCTCTTGTAAACTTCACTTGGTTGACAAAGGAATAAAAATTCTAAAACAGATTTCAAGATATCATGCCCCTGTTATCTAACCTAGATGGCCTGTTACTTTTTATATAAAAGTCTGAATTCTCACAGTTGTCATGCAAATTTCTTCTTTTTTCATGCTTCTGTATAAAATTTAAATCTCTTTTCTCATGACGATCTCTTTTTCTATCTACCTGTCAGTCATGATGAACTAATTCAAATTCTTTCTTCCTTGAATGAAATATTGTTTCTACCTAAAATATGATTTTCTCCTGTCTCCCCTTACCAAAGATCTTCACCTTACCCCTATTTTTCCTTCAAAAGCCAATTCAGAGTTTCTGTAGGAAGTTTTTCCACCCCAGGTCCTCTCATAGCCCTTCATTATTCTTATTTACACATCTGACATTTCCAGTAGACAGAAGACTCTGACAGCAACTGTGTCATGCTCAGCACCTGACACTTAACAGATGCTAATAATTGTCTTAGTTAAACCAATGAATAATTCAAGTGTGGAAGCCAGCTACCAAAATGGCCTACAATGACCCACCCTCACTTCCTGTTATTTACTCCCTCAGGCAGTCCCCTCCCACATTGCACAGGGTTGGCAGCACAAGCTGCTCTGTTATGATTAGATCTACAAAGAGGTCTATGTGGCAAGGCACCCAATTCAACCACTAACCAGCTACCAGCAAGGTACTGAGGCTATGTGAGTGAGTAGATTGTTCAGCTTTAGTCAGATCTTCAGAGGCTGCTACCAAGGCCAAAATTTGCATATGTATGAAGCTGTGAGAGGCTCTGAACCACAAGTACCACTAAGCTGCTCCTAGATTTCTGATCCTCTGAAGCTGAGTTTTAAACTACTGTATTTTGCTACTACATAGCACTATATAACCAATACACCAGACAAATGAAGTGTGTTTTTTACCATTTCCAGGGCACCTCTGATAATCCCACAGAGTAAATTGCAGTAGCACAGAGAAGATCGCCCAGCAGGGAGCTCTTCCACAAACTCTGCCATAGGATTCTTGTCCAGAATCAGGGAAAATTCATTTCTGCTTGAGTTGTTACAGGTCACAGTTGGTGTAATTCCCAAGTACATCTTGAAAGCAACCTGATAAAGAGAAGTCATTTTATACTAAAACTTGGTTTAGACCCGAATATATTAATAGGGCAACCATATACCATGTTGCAGGCATTGCAGCACAATGGTTAAACACTCAGATCTGGGTTCACAGTTAGATTTGCACTCTACTGATCCTATGATTTTATGAAACATCCTAAAGGACTAACTTTCTACGGAAACATTAAAGTTTATGAAAGATGCCTTAAGGTGTTAAAAAAACTTTTTAAAAAACAGATACCCTTTTGGAGAACAATATATTAAAATATTGTTAACCATCAACATATTGGAATGATACTTGTCATACTGATCCAGAACAACTAGGGATTTAGGGACTCATGTCCAAGGTAGAAAGGTAATGGTCAAACCAGAGGATGCTACAGGCAGATTAGACCAGGGCTGTGTTTTGGGAAATGGAATGTAAGTCTCTGGGGAGGAGCAATAGGTAGTGGTGGGAAGTACAAAAATGAGTGACAAAGTAACTTCTCAAAAAAAATGCTATTTTACAGGGCTTGAAGAATTTTATCAGGTAGATAAAGAAAAAAAAAATCATAGTTTCCCAAGTTTCATTAATGAGTAAACTGGTGTTCAACAAGTAAAACAACACAGCCAAGCCCATATCATAACTTAGCTCCTTGGCTCCTAGTCCAAGGCAATTTCTTTTCACAAAACACACAGGCCTGGGCTTTGAAGTTTACTAATGAAATTTGTCAGCTTGGTATGTTGTCATCTTTTAAAAGCCTTAATTAGTTTAATTTTTAAAATTAAGAGCTGTGTAGGAGAGATACGGAAACAATCTTCTTATGTTATTTATAATTCTAAGTACTAAGATGTTCTTCATTCATTCGTTCAACACCTACTTACTGAGCAGGGTCTGTCTAGTGCAGTATCTGGTACACAGTAGGGGGTCGATAGCCATTTGTTTTGAAAAAAAAAAATTGAATGAGCATTCATTCTGTGTTTGACACTATGTTTAGACCCAGATTACATAAATATTGAGAAAACATTTGCAAGGTAGATGAGGTGAGTGTGTCTGTGTGGCGGAGGGCAGCAGAAACATTCTCAGTAGTAGGAACATGTCACGGCATGAAACACCATGATGGGGTTCAGGAGAGGTCTACACCCATCAAGTTATGGGTGGTGAGAAGCCCCAACAGTGTTGACAGGCTTACACGGAGTCGGATTCTGTATTAGAGGATCTCATCTGTGTCAGCATGCAAGATGGATTTAGGGTTGGGGGCAGATTTGGGAATGAGGTCAAAAGCAGAGATGTTAGCCAAGAGGTTACTGTGGTAGTCTAAGAAAGAAATGATGAGAATCCAATTCCTTTTGTTTTTTTCAAAACTCATACATTCTGTAAACTTTCCCATATAAGTTTCAAATGTCACAACTCCTGAAATACGGTTCAAGTCTCTAACGCTGCTCAGTTCAAGAAGATACAAAATTAATACCTATTTTCCAAATCTTAAGTTATACAGCAATTGAAAAATACTATCATGAAAAGCTGGTTTAGATTCAACTTGGCTTCAGTCAATTGGCTGAAACCCCTTCTGCCAATGCTGATTACTCCCACTGGAAAACTTCTAGACTGTCATTTGTATGAGTGAGAGTTTCTGTCTGGTTTTTCCAACCAAGCCACATGAAAATAATATAAAAATGGAGCCTGTGCACTTTGAATTGCTTCTAATTCTCTTGGCCCCACGTTCACCAGTAGGAGGCATTATCTGCACACTGTTGGGAAATACTCATTCCTAGGGAATGACATTGTTTCCTTATCTGGCTGAATTCAGTCTGAGAAGGAGGACTGTTGTTTCTAATGAAGAAAGAGCTCCACCCTCGGCCACTGCCACAGCGGCTGTGTCAATAACAAGGGCAAAACATTCTCCCTCTTTGTGTGTATCCAACATGGACGCTTTTCAGAGCATTTTAAAATTTTTCCTTAACCAGAAAACTGTTATTGGCTACAGTTTCATGGCCCTGCTGACCGTGGGAAGTGAGCGTCTCTTTTCACTTGTGGCTTTTAAGTGCCCCTGCAGCACTGAGAATACGGTCTATGGGCTGGTTTTCCTCTTTGCTCCTGCCTGGGTGCTGCTGATCCTGGGATTCTTTCTGAACAACAAGTCATGGAAACTCTTCACAGGCTGCTGTGTGAATCCCAGGAAAATCTTTCCTAGGGGTGACAGTTGCCGCTTCTTCTATGTCCTTGGTGAGATCACTCTCAGTTCATTGGTGGCTCCTGTGATGTGGCTCTCTGTGGCTTTACTCAATGGAACGTTTTATGAATGTGCCATGAGTGGGACGAAGAGTTCGAGACTCCTGGAACTTATTTGCGATGGCAAGCCCAAAGAGTGCTGGGAAGAACTTCACAGAGTATCCTGTGGCAAAACTAGTATGCAAACCACGGACACTGAAGAACTGAAATTGTCCCTTCAAGCCCAGTCTCAGGTAAGAAAGGACTAGCCTGCCTTTTTTCTCCCAGAGTGAACTTTTAGTATTCTCTCCATTTTCTTTTCAGCCAGGGCTGAGGCTGAAAGGAGAACACAGAGAATTTTTTGAACCTAAATGGAAATTGGAACATGATGCAGCAATAAGATAGTCTCAGGGAAAGCTTTTAAAAGGCTGGATGGCGCAGTAAACTTGCTGATTGGATTATATCTTTTGCATTTCCAAAAAGAAATTCTCTCTGGGTTATGCACATGTAAGAACTTAAGTACTTTAAAACAAGCTTTCTGGGTTGACTTTGTAAATAATGCATAATACTAAATCATAAGCTGAGTGCTAATAGCAGAGCCATAATTAAAAGTGATTTTCTGTCATGTATTTATTTTCAATTTGGTTTCTCAGAGAAACACAGATATATGTTGATCTGTTAAAATACAGCTGAATCAAATGATCTAATACTTTTCAAAGTTGTGGGTAATTTTGTGTAGAAATTCCCTTGAATGATTTCCTCAAACTGCTATTGCTGTGTGTAAGTATTATCAAAATTGACAAGAATTTCCCCTATAAAGTAGGGATCAGCAGTCTGTAAATAGCCTTCAGTGACAAGTGATCACATTCTCTGGGGTGATTATGTCTTAAACTTTTTGTGCTGTACTGCTAAAGAAATTCTTACATTACTTTAGAAGTTCAATCAAGATTTAGAGGCTGGCGCCGTGGCTCACTTAGTTAATCCTCTGCCTGCGGTGCCGGCATCCCATATGGGCTCCGGGTTCTAGTCCTGGTTGCTCCTCTTCCAGTCCAGCTCTCTGCTGTGGCCCGGGAAGGCAGTGGAGGATGGCCCAAGTGTTTGGGCTCCTGTACCCTCACTGGGAGACCAGGAGGAAGCACCTGGCTCCTGGCTTCAGATTGGCACAGTGCTGGCTGTAGCGGCCATTTGGGGGGTGAACCAAGGGAAAGAAGACCTTTCTCTCTGTCTCTCTCACTGTCTATAACTCTACCTGTCAAATAAGAAAAAAAAAAAAAAAAAGTTCAAGATTTAGGCCATTAATCTGTTTAACAGAGGCTATCATAGCTTTGCCTGATGGATGTAGGGAAGAAATGTGTCATCATCCTCCCTGCCGCAGTCTCAGGAAAGGACTGGCTTCCTATTTGTGATCCACAATTTGTCAGGAATAATATTTGCTTCAGAATAAATGCACAGAGAATAGTATTGTTTTGCCTTTTAATAGGATTTGCCTTTATAACAACACATTGAGACAAAGTCTGTTTTTGAAATCATACATTCCAAAGCTGGTTGAAAATAGAGTCAAATTCTTCCCATAAATTGATAAGCTCCAAAAAAGTTTTCAAACAAAATCTTTTTGTGTAATGCATAAAGCATATCTTAGAGAAAATACATTAGGCTCCTAAATGTCTGCTGTTTTTATTGAAGGGAGGTATTCATTACAATAGCATGATAGAATGAATGACTTATGGTTTATGTCCTCAGGCACCAAGCTCCATTCAGTCACTGTCAGGTCCAACACTTACTGTATGAGTTTTCCTTCTCTAAACACAGGCACAAGGAATCATGCTCATCCTGCCATAGCTTAGACTGAACACACTGACCTTGTGATTTTTCAGCAGAATATAAAGGACCTGGGGCTGATTCCTATAGGAGAATGCATAAAGAATGTGGACAAGGTTAGTTGTTGCAACAGCCGGTGCTGACCACAGAGATTCACATAGTCGAGAGGCAACGTAAAGTCCAGACCAACAGTTGAGCGTGTGGGTGGGGTGGAAAAAATGCATTCATCCACGGATGAGACAGAGAAACAAGAAATCCACCTGACTGACTCTCTATTCTTAAGGAAGGTGGAAAGGAGTGGTAGAAAGAGTTCAGCCTTGGAGCTGGCCTTGGGATGGAATCCTGATACTATCAATCACCAAATATGTGACCTAGAGCTAGTGGTTTCACCTCTCTGAGCTCCAGGTTTCTCTTCACTGGGCCTCATACCACCTACCTTGGAGAGCTGTTGGAAAGCTTAGAAATAATGGACAGAAATGGGCATATTAACTTCTGGTACACAGTAGCTGTTCCAAGCTGGTGAACAAAGCATCAGTATTTGAAAGAGGAGACTTATGCAAGATTAACACAATCAAGGGCTAGGGTGGGAGCATCCATCATGCTCTAGTTTGACTGTGAGTACTGTAAACTGAGAAGAAAAACAAGATGATCCAGTGCTTAGTTCTTTGGTGAAGGCAGATCAAGGCTAATGTCATGCCCAGGGGAATGTTGATCAAACAGTCTCAGTTAAAATTGGCTCTGATACTCAGATGAAGTGGTCTACAGAAGGCCCAGCTGTGTCAGAGAGGAAGGGAGAAGATAAAGCAAAAAGGAAGGTCTGAGGTGAGCACCCACAAGCTCAGAAATGATACAAGGTAAATATGAGGATTTCCATATGATATTTGTTCCTCAGTCATAAGTACAGAGAGGTATTATGAGTTATTAAGTAAAGCTTTAACATAAATGTGTATACATTTGAAAAAGAGTTGCATGTGATAATAGCTAATACTTATGCAACACACATGTGACTCCTGCCTCATTTCACTGGATCCTCAAAATCACCTGTTGAGTTGAATAACCCACATTTTAAAACTGAGGCACAGATAACTATCATAGTGAAGGAAAAGCTGGGATTTAACCCAAGTGGTGGCCATCTACAGACCTTTCCCAATAACTGCACATATGAGACACAGGTTCAGAACAATGGAGCTAAACCTTATTTGCAGCTCTTTTATGGTGTGAATGAGTTCATTTGGAGATTATTGTTGCTATTTTTAAATAGGTCCATCTGCTGAGGAATACTAAGAGTCACTTAAACTAAATGTCAGAATACACTGTGAAAGAGATGCTGTCCAAATGTAAAATGAATTCCAATCATAAAATACATAATTAGAACAATGAAAAAACTTGGAAGGTACATTGACCTAGACCTATTAAGACTATTGCTTTTGGTCGGTGCCGCAGCTCAATGGGCTAATCCTCCACCTGCGGCGCCGGCACCTCGGGTTCTAGTCCCGGTCGGGGCACCGGATTCTGTCCCGGTTGCCCCTCTTCCAGGCCAGCTCTCTGCTATGGCCCGGGAAGGCAGTGGAGGATGGCCCAAGTCCTTGGGCCCTGCACCCGCATGGGAGACCAGGAGAAGCACCTGGCTCCTGCCTTTGGATCAACGCGGTGCACTGGCCACTGCGGCCATTGGAGGGTGAACCAACAGTAAAGGAAGACCTTGTCTTTCTCTCTCACATCCAAAAAAAAAAAAAAAAAAAAACCAAACCAAAAAACTATTGCATTTAAAAATTCAGAAGGAACAGCTGAACTACTTAAACTCAGAGAGGAATTTGTTTTTTCCAATTGTCAAAATTCTGAACAAATAATCCTCATGACTTGGAACAGTTCTAATATTTTTCCAGTTCTTACACAAGCTTTGAGTTTTTATATCTTCAGCTTCCTTATTGACTTCTCTGCCTCTGTGGATAGTGAGTAATGATGTTTGTGTCATGGCAGGGTCTGCTGCTCTGTGCAAACAAAGTCATTCGGGAAAGTTCAGCCACTGGCCATATAGAAGCATACTTCAAAAAATTCTTAGAAAATGGAATTACAGGATATGTTTATTTTGGTGCAAAACTTTTTGAAATACACATTTTTTCATGCTATCATTTCCATGAACTTTCTGGAATACCCTTGCTTATATATTTATCAATGCCTAAGTACACCTGGCTAAAGAACTGGTCATTTGCTCAAATGATCACATTTACTCAGATGCAGAATTCTTTCCTTTGACAGGTAATGTTATTTGATAGCTTGCCTTATCTAATTTTTGATAATGTATTCTTTTTCCTCTTGCCTTCCTTTTGGTTATTTCTTTATACACTGAAATATTGGGTAGTAGAAAAGAGCTCAGGTAAACTCCAACTTTATTTTGACTGTTAGAAAAGTGTTTAAAAATTAAGATGAATGATATCAAAAGAGGCACGTGGAATTAATTTAACTATACGCTTCCTAAGCGACATCCCGGCTTTCTGAGAAGTGACTTTGCTTTTCTGTGTCCTCCATGTTTCTTTCTTCCTAGATTTTAGGATGGTGCCTGATTTGCTCAGCGTCTTTCTTCTCACTGCTCACTACGTGTTATGCTCGCTGCCGATCTAAAGTCAGCCACCTTCAGCTGAGCTTTTGGAAGACGTATGCACAAAAGGAGAAGGAGCAGTTGGAAAATACGTTTCTGGAGTATGCCACCAAGTTGAGCGAGAGGAACCTGAAATGCTTTTTTGAAAACAAGAGGCCCGAGGTCTTTCCTATGCCCTCTTTTGCTGCCTGGGAGGCTGCCTCACAGCTGCATTCCTTCCACCAAAGTCAGCAACACTACAGCACTCTCCACAAGGTGGTGGAAGATGGCTTGGAACTTAACCCTGGGGATGATGAGACAACCATGATTCTCGTGGGCACCGCCCAAAATCTGTAGCTCGTCCTCGTCGCTGACTCATGGTGTTGAGTGGTATACTCACTTGGACATCCTCCTACTCTATCAAAAGCAACCTGTATCTCTGTATTTCCCCACCTTTAGAGTTTCTTTACAAGACAACCATGCATGGAGAAACTGCTTTGAAGTTCTCAAGTGCAATGCCACGATGTGTTCAAACTAATGCTAAGTGGTGGCAAAGCTCCTCTTCACTGTGTGAGGGGCGGGCTCAGTAAGCCCAATTGTCTGTCCAACTTCTAAGATTTTATTATTGAGCACAAAGACTCATTCGAGAAGGTCTGTTGGTCTCTGTCAATATTCATCATGGTATCGGAGGGCAGAAGCAATGGTTTATGAGTGAGCAAGGGATTGTTGCCATAGATAGCAGGAGTCCTTGTTCTGTGAATCTATCCCACTGCCTTTCAGGGATGCACAGACTTTTAACACGTGAAATTCATTTCTGGTGCTGGCGCTGTGGAATAGCAGTGAAGTCACATCCTGCAAAGCCAGCATTCCATATGGGTGCCGGTTAGAGTCCTGGTTACTACAGTTCTAATGCAGCTCCCTGCTAATGGCCTGGGAAAAGCGGTAGAAGATGACCCAAGTGCTTGGGCCTCTGCACCCACATGGGAAATCGGGAAGAAGCTCCTGAACCAGCCCTGGCCATAGTGGCCATCTGTGGCGTGAACCAGCAGATGGACGATCTCCCTGTTTCTCCCTCTATCTCTGTAACTCTGACTTGCAAATAAATAAAATAAATCTTAAAAAAAAAAGAAAAAGTGGGTAAAAATTCCTGAATAAACTTCAAAAAAATTCATTCCATCAGAATCTGAAGATCTGATCTCTCAAAAACAACCAATTGAAAATAATATCGTGCTTAAAATTCAAAGCTTTTCACATGTTCACTGTACACCCTGAAAATAAGCTCCTGGAGACAGGACTAAATCACAACTTTTGTGGACTCCAGCCACTTTTGACTTCATGTATCATTTTCTAACTCTCAATAGGAATAATAAATATATGTATGTGATGTGTATGTGTCTATGGATATCTATTGATGTTCACACACATCACACACACATATATATCTATGATGTATTGATAAAAAGACAACTATATTATCATATATTGAAACATTTTTTTCAACTCAAAAATTCACTTATTTCCTTCTGATTTTAAAATAGATTCCAGCTCGCGCCCCGGCTCACTTGGCTAATCTTTTGCCTGCGGCACCGGCACCCTGGGTTCTAGTCCCAGTTGGGGCACTGGATTCTGTCCCAGTTACTCCTCTTCTAGTCTAGCTCTCTGCTGTGGCCCGAGAGGGCAGTGGAAGATGGCCCAAGTGCTTGGGCCCTGCACCTGCATGGGAGACCAGGAGGAAGCACCTGGCTCCTGGCTTTGAATTGGCACAGCGCCGGCGGTACTGGCCATTTGGGGGGTGAACCAAGGGAAGGAAGACCTTTCTCTCTCTCTCTCTCTCTCTCTCTCTCTCACTCTCTAACTCTGCCTGTCAAAAAAAAAAAAAATAGATTCCAAAATTTTTTGTGTACCCCTAGGTGTGGTGTATTTTTTTTTCTGTTTGGGTTCCTATAATAATAATAGACTGGGTGGCTAATAATAAATCCCACAGTTCTGGAGGCTGGGAAGTCTGAAATTAGTCTGGTTGTGTTCTAGTGAGGGCCTTTTTCCAGGTTGCAGGCTGCTGACTTCCCACTGTGTCCTCATGTGGTGGCAAAGGCAAATAAGTTTCCTTGGGCATCTCTTGTAAGGGCATTAATCTCATTCTTAAAGGCTCAGCCCTCATGATCAAATTACCTTTCAAGCCTCCTCCCTTAATACCATCCCTTTGGTGGTTAGGATTTCAATATGTGACTCTTAGGAGACACAAACATTCAGACCATAGGAAGGTAAATTGACGCTAACTGGTGATCTGGGACACTGTCCAAAGCATAACCAGAATAAAACTTTTATGGTTTTAAGTTTATCAGACATAATGGAAAATTGAATTGTACTGTATAATATACCCATGTTGGTTTATGTGTATATATGTAAATTCTCTTTAAATCACAGAGTGGAATTGTGCTTTAGAAAGAGGAACTGTGTTTACATTGTGACTCACACTTTATATCGCTGACAGTCTATGTCTCTTACTTTGAGAAAGCTATTATCATGAAACATGATTAACATGAAACATGATGACAAACTACAGGTACAAGACCAGAGCCTAACTGTGATATTACAATTTATAATAAGAAATAAATATTTATTTTGTGCCCATTCCTGCTAAAGAGCTCCTAAAATTTTGTACTCTCCCACATGCTAATCAGGCCATTGACAGCTTTGGGTTCCAAGATGGTCTCAGTCTAGGGGCTGATTGCCAAGAGAACCAACTATGTCATCAGAAGTTTGAAACTTTTAGCTTCATTTCCTGACTTGGGGGGAGATGGGCTAAAGGTTGAGTTGATTACCAATAGTCAATGATTTAATCCATCATTCCTACAAATGAGGCCTCCATGAAGCTCTAGGAAACACAGGGTTTAGGGAGCTGGGTTGGTCAATACATGGAGGGTGGCCCCTTTCTCCAAACCTTGCCATACGCCTATTTTGCATCTCAGTGTTTCTGAGTTGTGGCCTTTTATGAGATGGGTAATTGTAAGTAGATGCAACTCTAGCAAAATTATACTCGAGAAGGGGACCATGGGAACCACAGATTTGTAGCTGACTCAGACAGAAATTGTGGGTAACCTGAGAACTCACTGCTCGCTATTGAATCTGAAGTTAGGGGCAGTCTTGTGGGACTAAGCCGTTAGCCTTCCTGGGGTCTGCACTTTGGTTGGTGTCTGAAAGGAACAGAATTGCAGGACATCTGGCTGGTGTTGGACAAGTGGTCAGTATGGAACAAAACCCACACACTTGGTGGGCAGTGAAACTGGGGACAAAAAAGGATCCCTTTCCCCTTGCTTACCAACAGGCTTCCCTTAGCTGCCTAACATTCTAATGATGTAGATGGGGTTAGGGGATGATGAAAGGTGAAGAGGAACTGAGGATTGCTGGCACAGTACTCTCTCCTCGAGTGCCACCCAAATTCTAGCCCCTTCCTTGCTGATGAAAGCAGCTGACAGTGTTTTGCTACTTAAGAGCCAGTGCTGGCTAGAAATACCCAATGTAGCTGCAGGCTCTGTTCTCATGATGACTTTTAGGTTATTATAATGTCATGATAATAAAATTAACATGGGCAGCACACCCACTCCTGTCATGTCCCTGACACCATGACATTTCCAAGATGTCCCAATGTGTGCTGCAGCCCTACATGCACCATAGAAACCCTGCTCCCATCATGTGCCCGATGCCATGACACTTTTGAGATTTTCAAAATGGGCACGAAAATGAGTGGTATTCAAACCCTGCCCCGAACTCCACCTCCTGCCCTGGCTCTGCCCCAGACATCACCTTCCATTGCTTCTGAGAGCACGAAAGAGCAGCTCTGAAACTTGTAAAGTTCATCATTCTTTCTCTCCAGGTTGCCTGCACTCCCTCCTGTGTACTCTTTAAATAAATCTGGCTTCTCTGTTCACCTTTATGTACATCTCCTTGTTGAATTTTGTCAGGTGGAGACAAGAACCTAGACTAAGTTTAGCCAGGTTCACTCCCACCCCCAACACTTGCAGCCCACAATAGTCACTTACCTGCTCGTTGTATGATAGATAGCAACTTGCTATCCCATGCCATTTGTCTTTGCTAAAATCTGCCACACCTTCTTGTTTGGGTCCCTGATAGAACTGGACAGAACTGGCTGCAGTCAAAATTGTGACTGGAGCCTGCCCAGATCAACTTAGACTAACAGAGTTACCTATGGTTCATTATAATGTAAAATGACACACTTCTGATGACGTTTCTGTGGCCCTCTGAACATGCAACACTTGTGAAAGTACGGTTTGTTAGTGTACATGCTCGAAGGAATTTTCACATCCTTTCCCTCTGATTCTGTAATGTTCCATCAAACAGTTATACCCCATTTACCCTAACACCATAAATTTCCAAAACCTTTTTGGAATGGGGAAATGGATTTGAGTTTTGTTAGTTTTTCTTTTTCCCATATCCTCACGGGCCTATAATAAATTTATTTCTCAGGAGATGCATCCAGTGCTTTTCTAATAGTCATGTTTGCATATGAGAAGACCAGCAGCTCAACGAGAGTAGGGGTGTTCAGTGTTGAGGGTGAATACAGGAGGAAAAAGGAACTTGGAAGTCCAGGGGTGTGTGTGTGTGTGTGTGTGTGTGTGTGTGAAGGATAGGGCAGAAATTAGGAATGAGAAGGTGCAGAGACATCAGAATGAAGGTAAACAAAAGTCAGCAAAGACAAATGCTCCTCCTCAATCTTTCTGGCTTGGAGCTAGCCTGCCCTTAAATAACTGCTGAGCTGGAAGATGGTACATAGGAATAAGCCAACACCCACATGTCTCTTGGGATGGGTGAGAGGATGAAGCAGCAGTTCTACAAAAATAGCTTAGATGTGGGAAGCTGAGGGTTGAGGAGTCAGTTCTAGAGCATTTGTCTGCCATCCTCAAATCCCGGACTTTCCACAGTCAGAAAGGTCACACTGTAAGTGTGTGTCACCTGTAAGCAGGTGTTTTGGCACAGTGTGTAAAATTGCCATTTGTGATACCTGCATCCCCATACAGCTCTCTGCTAAGGCATCCTGGGAAGCAGCAGATGATGGCTCTGGTGCTCGGGGTCAGGCCACCCAGAGGGAAGTTCCAGATGGAATTCTAGACTCCTAGCTTCAGCCTGACACAGCCCTGGAATTGTGGACATTTTGGGAGTGAACCAGTAGATGGAAGATACTGCTCTTTTTTTTAATGATTTATTTATTTAGTTAAAAGGCAGAGTTACAGAGAGGCAGAGGCAGAGGCAGAGAGAGAGAGAGAGAGAGAGAGGTCTTCCATCCACTGGTTCACTCCCTAGATGGCCCCAACAGCCGGAGCTATGCCGATCCGAAGCCAGGAGCCAGGGGTTTCTTCTGGGTCTCCCACATAAGTGCAGGGGCCCAAGGGCTTGGGCCATCTTCCACTACTTTCCCAGGCCCTAGCAGAGAACTGGGACTTGAACCAGCACCCATATGGGATGCCGGCACTGCAGGTGGCAGTTTTACCTGCTATGCCACAATGCTGACCCCGAAGATACCTCTCTCTTTCTCTTTCGTACTTTATCTTTTAAATAGATGAAAAAAAATAAAGAAACATTATGAAAGGAAAGAAAGTTTACACTATGGTAATGGTTTCCCTGTTAAGGACTACTGAAGCTGACCAGCAGACAGCAGCACTAGGGCCTTGTAGCTGCAGCTTAGTGCATGGCAGAGGAACACATTCTACTACTCTCATCAGATTGGATGGTGCCTCCCAACATTAGGTGAGGAAAGATCCTCTCTACTCAATCCACTGATTCAAATGCCAGTGTTTTCTGGAAACACCCTCATAGGCAAGTCCAGAAATAATACTTCATCAGTTAACTGGGTAGCCCTTAACCCACTCAAGCTGACAACTAAAATTAACCATCACATGTGTAAATTTAATGTGATTCATTGGTTCCGAGAGAGACAGAGTCTTATTCTCTTCTCTTTGAATCTGACTCTAATGAACCAACAGAATATGGCAGAAGAATATGGCTCAACTGTTAAGAAGTGTTCCAATTAATACCTTGGTATATTGCAATGCTCAACAGCTTCATAAGAGTCAACTACCATGCAAGAAGTCCAATTACCCACAGACCACCAGGCCATGAAGAAGCTTGTTAGCTAAAGGATGAGAGAGAGAGAGAGAGAGAGAGAGAGAGAGTGCAAGAGAGAGCCAACTGTTCCAGTCATTCTAACTTAGTTGTCAGATATGTGAATGAAAAAGCTATTTAGATGTCAGGTGTGTGAATGAATATGCCATTTTGGACATTCTAGCCCCAGTATACATGATATGGAGAGGACCCAGGAAGCCCAACCAATAGCCAGAAAAAAAGGTCCCAGCCAAACCATTCTAACCATCTCTAGTCATTTGTGCCAAACCAGGTGAGACTGCAGGTTTTGCAGACAGTCCTCGCTATGTCCAGTCCAAATCCCCAGTCAACAATATCATGAGTTTAAATACATGTTTGTTGTTTCAAACATTAAACTTCTGGAATGTAAATTTGAGAACTAACACATGAAAATCAGAATTTACTCAAAGAATAACTAAGAGCAAGTTGTTTTTATACATAGTTTTAATAAGAAATGCTCCTTGCATAGTTTTTTCCTTAATAATATTTTATTTTCTTTAGGCTTATATTGGAATATGACATATATTGTCATATATTGGATCTATGAAATGATCCGGTAAATGCTGAATAGGTACCTCCCCAAAATAGCTCCACCTAACCCTGAGATTCACTTTTAATTAATTTTGGTTAAATGCTGTTCAAAGTAAACATATTTCTTGGGAGGAGTAAGATGTTAAGTTATTATTTGTCATTAAAACATAGGAAAAATTAGGCCTGGGGGGTATAGGATAGGTTTGTCTTGAACAAGCTGGAAATAAATTGGTCTTCTAGTCTTGTTCTTCAAAGTATTGTCCTTAGATCACCAGTATCACAAGGGAGTTTGTTAGAAATGTGGCCCCATACCAGACTTGTGGATACAAGTCTGCAGTTAATTTATTTACTTAATTTATTTATTTTTAAAGATTTATTTATTTATTTGAAAGTCAGAGTTACACAGAGAGAGGAGAGGCAGAGAGAGAGAGAATCTTCCATCTGCTGGTTCACTCCCCAATTGGCCGCAATGGCCGGAGCTGTGCTGATGTGAAGCCAGGAGCCAGGATCTTCTTCAGGGTCTCCAACATGGGTGCAGGGGCCCAAGCACTTGGCCATCTTCTACTGCTTTCCCAGGCAATAGCCGAGAGCTGGATTGGAAGTGGAGAAGCCAGGACTTGAACCGGCACCTACATTGGATGCTGGCACTGGCCCCTCAAGTCTACAGTTTAACAAACCTGTAGCTGACTCCTGTGCAACTTAAATTTGAGACATGGTTCTCAAACTTTAGCATGTATCAAAATCATGTGCAGGGCATGTTAAAATGTAGATTGCTGAATCCCATTTCCAGAGGGTTTGTGATAGTAGGTCTTGGTGGTGCAAGAGAACTTGAATTTCTGGCAAGTTCTCAGGGAATGCTGATGCTGTGGGTTGAGAGACCACATCTTGAGAACAACTACTGATGAAGGAAGGCTGGGGAAATTCGGAATCTTGGGCTCCACTCC